TTTCATATTTTATAAAAGAAAATTATAAAGGCTCATTTCCCAAGGGGTTTTATTTTATAATACAATAAAATAATAAATATGTGTTAAAAAGAATGATTGAAATCATTTAATAACTTATTTAAAACATCGGTATGTATTGTACTTGATTTGTTGTGAATTGAATTTGATAATTAAATTGGTAATTATATTATATTATTATTCACCAAATGGCTTACCAATGACGAATGACGAATGAACTATAATGTTCAACCAGGATCAACCCTAATCATAAAAGTGGTGGCCCCTATCACCCCCCTCCACCAGCTGTATTTCTAAACAATTTTATACTGTTAAAAACAAAATTACAAAAAAAAATCATCGAAATTGTCTGAAAACTATAACTTGCCATATTTATAAAAAAAAAGGAAACTGAAATGTCAGTAAACAGCTCAAAATAAGTCAAAATATTTGGAAAGTGTTATGGTGTATAGAAAATAAAAATATAAACATTCAGTCAAAATTGCATGTACCTAAGGTCATTTGTTTAAGAGTCGCACCAAAAACCAAAATCGATTTTTTCAAAAACAGATTTTGCTTACAAATTCCTGTTTTTCCTTAATTTTTCTTTTGTTTTTCCCGGCGCTTTTGAAAACTATTAGAATTTTAAATATTGACCTCCCCAATGCACCAACAATATTCACTTTCCCATCGAACAAGATACTGAAGTTGAAAATCGAAGCATTATTTCGACTACCTACTTATCGTGTACACAGACAAAAAAAATTTTAAAAAAAAAACACACATCATTATAAAATCAATAGTCAATACACTCATCGTTTCACTCAGAATCTAAAATGAGAAACATGATATGAATGCATATTTTATCAGTTTTTAATGATATATTATGAAAATATTCTGAAGTTTTTTTAAAGCTACGCGTAATACTATATACATACAATTATATTTTGAACTTTAAATGTTAACTTTAATAATCCGCTCTTTATAAACTTATAATGTATTATTATCTAGTAGATTTTACATTACAAACCGGTTTACATGCTATTAAAATTATACAAACATATCATAAAAGTTGAGTTTTGAAAAAAATTAAATGAAGACCTTACTTAAACCAACATAGCTGCAGAAGCTGTGGTGTAGAATATAATACGAAACTAATCACTCACTGCGGTGGTATACGTGTATACATAACTCCGGTTTGCGGTATAAACTATTATTGAAACGGTGGTACAGACTATTGTAAAAAATAATAGGAGTAACCGTGTCGACGGGTTTAGGTCCGACATATTTCGATACTATCATCGTAAGAACAATAATAATAATATGCTTCGTGATAAACGTTGACATTTATTTCTTTGTAAATATACTATTATACGAAGACGAAAAGACAAAAACTATTTTTTTAAGAATATAAGGATTTGGACCATGTACAGACGTATAATACAAGGCCAGGGAATGAACACTTCGCTGTTTTTTTAAAATAATAAAGCATGCATGGAAATACAGAGATGTATTTAGCTAACACGGTGTTGAACTTATATATTAAAGTAACACTGTAACTTATATTATCAATAGAGCATTATTCAATTTATAAGAATGATAAGTTTTTCACTCCATTAATTATCACAACATTTTTTCAAACTGTATAGTTTGTTACTTGTTTTTATTTTTTTTATTAACGTTACTAACGGTTTGAATCTTATCGATAAAATGTGTTCAAACAAGGTATGACATTTAGGTTTACAATTTTAAAAATTGGTCTTAAAATAATATTTTATAAATGCCTCTAAGAATTTTGGGATTTTAATACACAGATGACACAATACCTAAAATTGGAGTTTAACTTGTCAATATAATGGGTTCTTATGTAATAATAATTATCTGAATAATTATTGAAACAATTTTATTAAAGAATGTATTCACTAATAATTTTAAGTAGGTAGGTATACATATTTTGTGATAAAGGTACAAACATCAAAGATTTTAAAATACTACAAAAAAGCAAGCCTGGGCAATTCAATGATAATAATTTTTAATTAAATTAAGTTGATGGAAAACAAAAGTTTAATGTTAATAGTTATCTTAATTTCTTTTTTCTAGAATATAAATAGTCAGTAATATGGTTTAAAATAATAAAAAGTAAATGTTTATGCGCAGTATACATCATCAATAATAATTTTATAATATTTATTATTTAATTATTTTTAAATTGACGTTGCTTGGATTTGACTAAAAGTAACTCGTTGCCTACATATTTATTAAGTTTATAAATATCAATAAAAATCAGTTAAGTTAAATATTAAGTAAATGCAAATTAGATTTAAAAAAGTTAAAATTAACTTACCTAACCAGAAACTTTAATTTCTTAACTTGCTTATGCCCAGGCTTGCAAAAAATGCTTGTAAAGTATTTTGAATACTTTTAAAATGTATTTGTATTTATATTCACTATATACTTTTAAAGGACGGCCGTCGGCAGTATTCGAATGCGTATTTCAATTGATACAAACGGCGACACAAAGTTACTTGATACGTATTCTGAATATATTTGAAAAGTATTCTTAACAAGACTGCGACGACGGATATGTATGTAGTATGTATATTATATTCAAGAACAACATGTATGGCCCCGGATTTCCGAGGGATTATAATCGACAGGGTCTGTTTTCGTTTTACGACGGTATAAAGTGATAAAATAATACAAACACACGCATATATCTAATACCTATTATAATATGTACAATAAAGTATCATAATGTTACCCACACCAGCGTACAATGACATGACGAGGATTTCGTTTTCATTATTATAAACACGCCGACTATAATACCTACGCCACACTTTATTATCTCCACAACTTCAGCATGTAATAATTAAATATATGTAATAATAATAATAAATTACCATGATGTCATGGTGATAATAAATAAGTAGGTATATTATGAATATTATATATAATGGCGACGGGGAAAAATTAAAATATAGCAAACGACAGCGACCGCAAAACATAATTAATCAACGTTTAATATAATGATATAAATACCTATATATATAGATATTATTACTATAGTCTGAGTACTCTGAGGCCTAAGACACACGCTTTACACGTACTGTTGATAATATTAATTGTTCGTATATGCACTCATCTGTTCTTGTCGATGATGTTTCTTATATTATAATAGGTATAGGTACAGTAAACTGCAAGGGCGTCATTTCAGTTTTTTTATTGTTGATGTCAAAACTTTCGTAGGCCATTTTCAATCATTACCAGGCCACAATCATGGGCCTTTTTTTGGGCAGAGGGGCATGGAGGGAAATACCTCCTCTGTCTTCTTCATCAGTTGTAATACCAAAACAAATAACCCTAGATACTTGAGATTTATACGATAAGTTTATTTTATCAATTCCTATGCTTGATAAAATTTTCAAAATATTTTGACTATTTTTGAGCTTTTTAAGGACAATATTTCAAATTTAAATTTTTTTAGTTTTTTTTCTATAAATATTAATAACATTTTATTTAATTGGCCAATAATCTTGAAAATTTAATACAAGGCTCCTGATATATTGTTTAAATAGCAGTTGAAAAATATTAAGAATACATAGGCACAATTTTTTTTTAAAAAAGCATTTATAGTTCGATTTTTGACAACATTTATCAAATTTAAACTTTAAAAATGATTTTGTAGTTAAAAATTTATAAAATGTTCAACTTTTGTAGCTGAGGGTAGAAAACATACAACAAGGTTCCACGTAAGTAAGTTATTCTGTAACCAAAAAATCTCAAAAATATAAATCAAGGTTTTTTTTATAGTTATTTTATGTTTATATTTGGAGGAAATTACATATTAAATAACCAAGAATAACGATTTTAGTTATTTTGTTGTAATTTTATAATATTAATTCAACTTACCGGCTACTGTATTAGTAATAACTAGGGCTGGGATTTTGATGCAAAGGTATATTTTTTTCTGATGTTTTGAAACGTTGATCCGTAAGTATAAAATGTGTTTTGGGTGATAGAGATTATTTTTAAACATTTTTTATTTTGCATTTTTTTGCATTTTTTGACAAAATTAACCTTAAATGTATTTCTAGGATATTTTTTGACGTTTTTAGTGCATTTTTTTGTTTTTAGAGCATTTTTCACAATTTCTACATAATATGAACGAAAATTGTTGCGATTCACAAGAAACTTTCGGCAAACTGCCGATGGTACGAATATATAATACTATATATTATAGTTTATTTAAATATATAGTAGGTATCATATATTCATATATTTCATCATAGCTATGCTTCTCCCCGAAAATTATCACCGTTATATACCTATTATGAATTATTATTTTTATTACACACCATACATACATACGTAGGTACAAATTATTGCAATTTTATTATAGCTAGGCCAAGATAAATATTACTGATACAGCAGTGCAATAGCGATTTTGTTCAGATTAGTATTAATAACAACTTGCAAAAACAAGTTGAAATATTAAAATTTTTTTTTAAATTATCATTTTAGAATGAATGATTAAGAAAACAGAAGCATAAAAACAAGTAAAAAAAGGAACAAGTAACAACGTACAATAAACTATTAAAAAAAAAAAACAAAAAAATACATTACTGAAGTATAATTTAAAATTTTTTTCCGATTTTTAAGCTATAATAAATATAATTTAAATGTATTTTTTAATGCATTTTTTAAGGGTATTTTTTGAAATGTTTTAGGGCATTAAAATCCCAGCCCTATAGTAATAACTAATAAGTATAATAACAATATAAATATAATATAAATTATCCACACTGATATACCGTCACCGCTCAGAGTTTATTTTCGTATACAATGATATTATATCATTGAATTCAAATTTAATACCATATCCATTATACAGTGACCCACTTGAAACCTACTATACAGCAGAGCAACATCCACTTACCCACCTTTTTTATTGTTGCTGCCAAAACTTTCGCAGGCCATTTACAGTCATTGTCAGGCCACAATCATGGGCCCCCTTTTTTGGAGGGAAAGATACCTCCTCTGTCTTCTTCTTCGCCTTCTCTGCCAACTGGGGTCGACCATCCCATTGTTCTACACCACCACAGTGCTCTGTCCTCCACCTCTCCTTTGTTCACTCCAACTATTTTTATGTCATATTCCTCTCTTTCCTTCAATAGTTCAATATTAATTTCTACAGCCACCCTCACTACCTCTGAATCGCCTCTCCTCATAATTAGATAGACATATTCATTTTGTAGAATATTTATGTAACTTATTTAAGACAATGTCAATTTAGTCAGACTCTAATGGATCAATGAGCGGGTAGACGCAGTAGGTACCTACTTACTTTTACGTAAACACAATGTGCCCCCCTGGGGGTTCATAGAACAATAGTTATAATTATTATTATTTTAGATTCTGAGCCGAGCCTGTGCGATGTATGGATTGATTTTAAAATTATGTGTGCGTGCTTGTTTAATTCATTTTTCTGTTATAAGCAGAGGTATACTATTATGTATTAGGTACAATATTTTAACGATGATTTATTTATCGATCTGCATTATATTATACTGTAAATTGTACCTACTCGTTTTCTTTTATTTATGAAAGCACAAAATATATCTACAGTAATTTTATTTTAAATTTATAAATACTTAGGTACGTGGGTAAATGTTCTAAAAATGTCGAATATGCATTTGATTAACAAAAACTAAATAAAAAAATTGACACATAATAGTATCAAAAATTCAATTATTTTCAAATATCGTAAAATTGTATTTAACTTGATGAGGTATGTCCTGGAGTGCTATGAAAAAAAATTCCTAGCCCTAATTATCATCCTTATAGTATAAACATTTTAATATCTCAGAAACTATACTTATTAGAAATTTGATTTAGATGCATCACATTTTCAAAAAAATCACCCACTAAATAATTTACAATAAAAAAGGATGGTTCTTATTTGAAAAGCAGGAGTTTGTATCACCACAGGACACTCCTTAAGTTAACAGTACAAAAAATATCGGGGATTTGAAAATATGGTCTTTATTAGAGCTATACCTAAACTTAAATATTCTAAAAATCAAAATTTGAATAAATGTATTGTTAAAGGAAAAATGGAGGTGAGTGCGTTGAAAAAAACACCCTGTATCCCAAAAATTGGGACACTTTATAACTTAGATATAAGTTCATAATTCATATATTACTCAGTATATTTAGGTACCCCTCCCCCTCCTATGCATATAACTGACGTAAAACTGTGTAGACTGTTAGATCATAATTTCCTATGACTTACAATTGTTTAACTCTTGTACTTTGCGCAAGCGTGACACCTTAACTTTTGTTCTGTGTCCTGTTTTGGCGGGCTACACAAAGAGCACTTCTTTCCGGCAGAGTAAACTAAATTTCAGTTAGGTCTTAGATAATGTCAGTGGCGTAGCAAGGGTATGGCGAACTGTGCCTACGCCAGGGTCGCAAATTATGAAGGGGCGCAAATTTGTGCTTTTAAATTGGTACTTATTTTTATTCTACCTTCAAAACGACATTTCTTTATTACCTATTCGACTATACATTTTGAAATGTGTATGATTTTGTTTATCTTGTTCATCTTTAAATTCGTGTTTCATGTGTGTGTGTGTGTGAACACTGAACATCGAGCTTATCGTTATCGGATCGCCCGTGGCCCGTCTATAAAGTAGATATAATAAGTAATAATAAGTAGTATTATTATATTATTTGTCGTCTATATATCAATAATCTTATTTTAGATTCTGAGCGGAGCGATGAATGTATGAATGTATTGGTTTTACAATGATGTGTGTTTTAGATTCTGAGCGGAGCGATGAATGTATTGGTTTTACAATGATGTATGTTTTTATATTTTTATTTATATTTTTATTTATATTTTTGTGTCTGTCATCACGTTTTGGGACAGTAAAAGTGCTTCGATTTTCTTCAATAGTACCTTTTCTGATAGGAAAGTGAATCTAGTTGGTACTTTGGGGGGTCAAAAGTAAACATTATCCATTAGTTTTCACAAGCGCCGGGAAAAACAACATAAAAATTAAGGAAAAACGGGAATTTTTACGCAAAATCGATTTTCCAAAAAATCAAATTTGGATTTTGGTGTAACTTTAAAACAAATGACCGTAAATACATGAAATTTTCACTGGTTGTTTATATTTGCATTTTCTAAACACGATAACATTTTCAAAATATTTTGATTTATTTTGAACTGTTTAGGGACATTTTCATTTTTCATTTTTTTTTAGTTTTTTTTCTAGAAATATCAATAAAATTTTATTTGTTGGTTGCGAAAGCTTGAAAATTTAATAGAAGGCTCCTAATATGTTGTTTCAAAGGCAGATGAAAAATATTAAAAATCCTTAGTCACAATTTTTTTTTATAAGCATTTAAAGTTCAAAAATTTACAAAATATGGAAAAATCACGAAAATTAGCAAATTATTTTGAGTTAAGAATTCGTAAAAAATTTTCTTTTTAAATCTAAGATTTGAAAATGAAACACAAGATTCCTTATAAGATTATCTACCTTTATCAATAAAAAAATCTCTACCGGACAGTCAAGTTAAATTTTTATGAGCGTTTGAAATTAAAATTTTTACAACATTGGATATTCACTCAATTTCTCATGTAGCGATTTCTTTATTTTGTTGCAATTCAAAAACGAACAACTGAAGATACATGAAAATTTCACTGAATGTTTAAATTAGCATTTTCTATACACCATACAATTTTGAAAATATTTTGACTCTTTTTGAGCTGTTTAGGGACATTTTCAGTTTTCAATTTTTTTAGTTTTTTTTTTTATAATTGTCAATAAAATTTTATTTGGTGGGCCAAAAAGTCTGAAAATTGAATACAAGCTTTCTTATATATTGTTACAATATCAGTTGAAAAATTTTAAAAATACATAAGCACGATTTTTTTTATAAGCATTTAAAGTTGGAATTTTGACAAAATTTATCAAAATCTCGAAAATAATCAATCGTTGGAATTAAAAAATTATAAAATGTTCAGTTTTTATAACTAAGAGTTGAAAATTTAAAACAAAGATTCTCTTAAATAATTCATACTGTAACCAAAAAATCTAAAAAATATATAAACACACTTATTTTTTACAGACATTTTAATTTCAAATTTGGACGAAATTACATATTAAAAAACCTAGAATAACTATTTTAGTTATTTTGTTGTGATTGAATAATATTATTCGTGGGTACTTGAAACTTCTAAAGTGTACTATTATATATCTATGATAGTATCACGGTTTTTGTTGATGTATAACGCGTTATAAGTATCTAATGGATATTGTGATATGATTAATTTGGAATTTATTATAGGTACCTATTATAGGTCAATTTTTTGTTTAATACCATAGATATGTAGGTATATAATATGTCTTATACTAGACTGACATACCGTCACCGCTCAGAATCGTTTTTCTTATACAATGATATTAGATCATTGAATTCAAATTTAATACCATCCATTATACAGTGACCCACTTGTAACCTACTGTACAGCAGAGCAACACCCACTTGCCCACCTTTTTTTTTATATTTTTATATTTTTATATTTTTTTTGTGTCTGTCATCACGTTTTGGGACAGTAAAAGTGCTTCGATTTTCTTCAATAGTACCTTTTCTGAGAGGAAAGTGAATCTAGTTGGTACTTTGGGGGGTCAAAAGTTTAAATTTCCCAGTAGTTTTCACAAGCGCCGGGAAAAACAACATAAAAATTAAGGAAAAACGGGAATTTTTACGCAAAATCGATTTTCCAAAAAATCGAATTTGGTTTTTGGTGTAACTTTAAAACAAATGACCGTAGATACATGAAATTTTCACTGGTTGTTTATATTTGCATTTTCTAAACACGATAACATTTTCAAAATATTTTGATTTTTTTTGAACTGTTTAGGGACATTTTCATTTTTAATTTTTTTTTAGTTATTTTTCTAGAAATATCAATTAAATTTTATTTGTTGGTTAAAAAAACTTGAAAATTTAATAGAAGACTCCTAGTATATTGTTTCAAAGGCAGATGAAAAATATTAAAAATCGTTAGTCACAGTTTTTTTTTATAAGCATTTAAAGTTCAAAAATTGACAAAATATGGAAAAATCACGAAAATTAGCAAATTATTTTGAGTTAAGAATTCGCAAAAATTTTTCTTTTTAAATCTACGATTTGAAAATGTAATACAAGATTACTCATAAGTTTGTCTACCTTTATCAATAAAAAAATCTCTACCGGACAGTCAAATTAAATTTTTATGAGCGTTTGAAATTCAAATTTTTACAACATTGGATGTTCACTCGATTTCTCATGTAGCGATTTTCTTATTTTGTTGTTATTCATAAACGAATAACTATAGATACATGAAAATTTCACTGAATGTTTATATTAGCATTTCCTATACACCATACAATTTTGAAAATATTTTGACTATTTTTGAGCTGTTTACGGACATTTTCAGTTTTCAATTTTTTTAGTTTTTTTTTTTATAATTGTCAATAAAATTTTTTTTGGTGGGCCAAAAAGTCTGAAAATTGAATACAAGCTTTCTTATATATTGTTACAATATCAGTTGAAAAATTTTAAAAATACATAAGCACGATTTTTTTTTTATAAGCATTTAAAGTTGGAATTTTGACAAAATTTATCAAAATCTCGAAAATAATCATCGTTGGAATTAAAAAATTATAAAATGTTCAGTTTTTATAACTAAGAGTTGAAAATTTAAAACAAAGATTCTCTTAAATAATTCATACTGTAACCAAAAAATCTAAAAAATATATAAACACACTTATTTTTTACAGACATTTTAATTTCAAGTTTAGACAAAATTTCATATTTAAACCAAGAATTACGATTTTAGTTATTTTGTTGTGATTGTATAATATTATTCGTGGGTACTTGAAATTTCTAAAGTAATCTACTATATATATCTATGATAGTATCAAGGTTTGTTGTTGGTGTATAACGCGTTATAAGTACCTAATGGATATTGTGATATGATTAATTTGGAATTCATTATAGGTCAATTTTTTTTAATACCATAGATATGTATATAATATGTCTTTTACCTAGAAGGACATACCGTCTCCGCTCAGAATCGTTTTTCTTATACAATGATATTATATCATTGAATTCAAATTCAATGCCATCCATTATACAATGACCCACTTGTAACCTACTGTACAGCAGAGCG